TGAGAAAAGATCATTTCACCATCAAACTGATACAAAGAAGGTATTGAACGGTGGACCAACTCACATCGCGACATATAAGCTGTATTTCATTGATCACCAGATGCAATTGGTGGAAAGGCATACTTCTAGAGCATAGTCCTACAAGACTTAGGTACAGAATTGTACTGCTTTAAAATACTTTGCATTGAGAAATTATCACAAAACAGTGAATACACATTTGGAAAAAATTACCGCATGTGTTGCTGTGATTGGTTCCGAGCTTTCAAAGTACTTTTCTGTGTCAGATTGTGAAAAGATATTCCGTTTTGTTGTATCTTTTCCAAACAGGAAATAAGGTTGAGCAAGACTATATGAAGTAAAAGATTAAAGCGCTGCTGATCAACCGCTGGAGTACCGATTCGTTTCTCCGCCCAACATATTCGGATGTAGGTAGGTGCTCATCAACGGCTGATAAAATAATTTCGGATGCAATAGAACGAAATGTGAAAAAGAAAATTAGGAAATCGATAGAGAATTCAAAAAGGGATATGTACAAAACGATTCACTGTGCAGCCATCAGCACCGTTCCCTCGAATTACCCACTACATTTTCTGGTAGTAGTAGGTTATGAACTACAAACTTCCGGATGCCATGAGGATTTATGCTTTTATCCATCTATTCTATTCACTTTGATGAACGGTTTGTGGTTTTATCTGTGCTCTATCTAGAGATATCATTCTACATTGCTCCCAGTGTTATAAGACTTTCCGTGAGTGCCATATCATTATCACTCAAGATCTGCAGTTCCCACTCGTTTGATTCAATTGGGCTTCTTGGAGGCACTATTAATCTAGTATTTTTAGTGCCATAAAACCCTCATGCATGTCTCACAAAAGCCTAATAATGTCTGTTACCGAAATCGGAACTGTTTACTCCTATTTGTTTTACTTCTTTTATAATTTGCTACTCCATATCCTAGTTCTTTCATGTGTCGGACGCATCCAGGAATATTACTAGTCGCTTGTGCATAAGCGGTGTTTTCCCTCGTCTCAATTTCTCATTCATTACTAAGTCCAAACATATCTCACTATGGTATCCCGTACTCATTTCCGGGAGGTGGAGTAGTTTCTTCTTCTTTGGCACTTCTGGTATATATTCAGCACAAAAGCCAATCTTCGTAACGCATATCAGTCCCGAATATGTACTCCTCAATCCTTTGCTCACCAACGTTCGATTGTCTCTTTTCTCTTTTCTACCATAATTCGCATGAATTTTATTATTCAGAGCTTTCAGATCTTTCTCTTACCAGGTGACTCTGATAGCTTATCAAACGCAGGTATTTAAATCCCGTGTGCTCCCCTGTAGGCACCGAACAGTGGAATGCCATTCCTTACTAGATTGTGCATCCCAATCACTTTTGTGTCGTCATGTAAGTAACCAGCAATTTGTGTTTTGCACGGATAGCCACTCTGCATCGTCATTGTACAATATTTTGGAAGATCATGAGGTTTACCTATTGACTGTTGGGTACGCATATCATGCAATACGCAAAAATGCATTCGTAAAAGAAAGCAGACAAATGCATCCACTTGAAAAAGTAATTCATTTGGGATGGCAACATACTGTCATCCGTGCTTCAAAAATACTGCCAGAATAATATTATAGAAAAAGGAACAGCTTCTAATAGAACAAAGATCTCACCTCCAATAATTTCACCTTGTTAGACTGGTCTTTCGATTCGACGTAAGCGTCCACAAGGCGGTATACGGTCTCTAATGTACCAGTGAATGCCAATAAGGACTAGTACAATGAGATATCGCGTTGTTAAGTAATGGAATCCCGTAGAACTTACACGAACAAGCATTGTTTCAATGAATACGGGATCCAAGCGAGTTGTTAGTTGCAGCATTTCTCTAGATACATTTACTATCTGGTATTTAATGTGAAACATATGCATTCATTGCGTTGAATTACCTCTCGAGAAAGAGTGAAAAATTCCCTGGAAGACCTGATGATGGAATAAAAATGAGAATTTAGAATAATTCGTTCGATTCAACACAAAACAGCAAAAGTTGAAAAAGTGACCCATAACCACCACGAAAACAAAACAAATCGAGCCCATAAATGCAGTTTCATATCCAGGGGTCAACGCGTATATCAGAATTAAATTTGCTGCGACATTATTCAATGACCATAACTATTCAACGCCTTTCACTCAGATAAGAAACAAGCCCAATTTATTAAATGGAGGTAATCAATTGATGAAAACGAATTGTCTACCACTTTGTAGTTTGTGAGTTCCAACCCCGTCACCAACTCTAAGCTCTTTCGTTTGTTAATTTATAGCTTACCTGGTACCGCTAATTCATGATTTTTAAATATTTACTGTACCTTTGTTGTAGATGAAATAAGTCGCATTAAGAATTCCATGTAATTCTTACTGGGTACATTTAACTTACAATTACTTGTGAGTAGTGATACGTTTAACACATCGGATTTCATCTTCCCTCACCACACACTCGGGAAGCACTGGAGCTCAAATACTATCTCAATAAAGTCCATCACCAGTGCGTATCCAGTGGCAATAAAAACTCGGAATTCTCCCACGAAATACATGTGCTGTCACGGACCCAGTAGATGGATAGCGAATCACAAATAGCTGATACAATGTGGTGGACAACATGGCATTATCAAACTGCCATGAGTATTAGAATATCTCAGACTGATCAGCGCAGATTAGGTTGTATTTAGTTTGCCTTCTTTGACACAACGATCGAAGGGTAAGGCAGGAAGCAGAAGCTGAGGATGGAAAACTCATATGGGCTCATCAGATAACAATGCAATCATCCATGTGATACCATTTACTGATGGCTTTTTTTAAACTCCAAGCAGTTAATAATTAATATAGTTTACAACTATACGTAACGTAACTTTTCGAACAATTAACATAAGGATTTTGGTGTTTTGTAACAATCGCACCTATTGGAAGTCTCAGCTATCAAGTCTTTGCCCGTGACCTGAACACTTCCTCAATACGCATAGTTCACCGTAAAACCGATAGACGATTATTTCTCCACAAAAAAGGGTGTGGTTAAAACATTCCATTCATTCTTCAAGCATCAAAATATCATTGTCTATTGGTGTGTATTTCTATCATGTCTAACTGTTTTTTGTCCAGTCACTTTCTCTAAGCGGTGCTTTCGCTTATAGAAACCGCAAGGATGAAAATCAAGCAAAATATGTGACATAAACTGATTGCCATTCTTCAATCACTATCCTGTTATATGTTCATTTTTATCAGTGGTTCGATGGCCTGTGCAAATAATTTCTTACTGATCTAGTTTTAGATTATATGTATAGATAAAATTAGGTTTTATGTTTCAACAGATGGAAATAAACATAAACATTAAAGACAAAGAACGAGAAAACTGTGCGATTGGCAGAGTAACTGCTTTTGCATTTTTAGTGAGTACGTTTTGAGTTTTTTATTTTGATGAGGAGGAACAAACTCCAGACTACTGAGTCCGGCTACCAGCCCAGCCAAGCTCGATTCATTCTACATGTGTGGATAAGAAAATTTCCCCATTGCTAAGTTTTAAAACCGAAACCTTAAATGTTACACTTTTATGTAAATCTACAACCCATACACTTAAGTTTCCCCGTTGAAGAAGTATAACCCCTGGATTATTTGGTAACTTATGTTATTACCTCTGTTCTACCTAAATCTCAAATTTATGCTAGTGATGATGTCCTAGAGGAAGTCTTGTGGCACTGCTTTCCATGCATCCTTCAAAGCTCTCCTTAGGCTCTAAAGGTATAGAAAATTGTGGTCCTTCTTTTTCTTCCCGTGAACCGAAGCCGTGACAATCAGTTTGACAATTATGTAAAAGGAGTAAAGAAAACTGGAGAACCAGTTCAGTTCAGTTCTTACAATCATTAACCGTGCACTTTCGTGAACCGGTTTTGGCTGCTGTCTTTTGGCCGCCCATTTGATAAAAAGAGAAGGATGAAAATTGGAATGTTGAAAGCCAATTCAAACAGAAGATAGGGAATTCATATAGACTGGTGTTAAGAGAATAATGAGTATATACATAAACGCTACTGTTTGCGACACCCAGCCATATCGCTCAGTGTATCTGACCATCGGTGACCATAGTCTCGGGGTCCCCAGCAAAGAAGCCTAACTGGACCTATGTGACCCGCTCTCCTGGTTAGGGTTTTCACGCCCTCATGCCAGGTCTTCGTTTGATCCCCGTTGATGTTTTCCCAACCGTCACCTGCTTCCGCAAACATCGTTCACCGTGGAAACCTATCTGGTGACATACCCCAACCAACATCATATATATAGGTCGACTACCTGTTGCAGTGGACGACCGCGAATGCCGAAAACTCTACGCCTAACCTCAGCATTACTCCTCCGGTTACCCAATCAAACTCGTGCGATGCAACGTAGACAGCGGTGTTCGAACACCGACAACATGTTTTTATCCTGTTCCCGTAATGACCGAGTCTCTGCACCGTAGAGAAGCACTGGCCGAACTGCTGCAGTATATACTCAACCCTTCACGGACAGCCGGATATCGCGACGGCGGCAAAAATGTATTAGGTTGAAACTGCTAATCGAGTTAAGCTGTCTTTTCCCTATCAATGAAAGTCTATAAACCACATCCACATCAATGTAGTCCAAATTCACGGGCTCATACCGTAAACCAATGAACTTGGGCACACACGCGTAGGCAGTGAACAAAGGGCATCATAACTCTCGTGCTGAAACTCACTGGGTGGTAATATCGAATGCATAGCTTTGGACAATCGGCCATTCCTCGATTAACATTTTGGTGAATTTTTCAGCTAAGATATAGTATAGAATATACATAGAATATGCATAATGAGAAACTCACGTGTGTTTCCATACGAATCCATGTACGCTATGGCAATACGCTTACAATTTTCAGTGATGCGTCTAAAGGTGATCATTTTCTGCTCCTCAAAATTATCCACATTTGACATCTGAGTTATTAAACCGAGTGATAAATGTACATCGCCACGGCCTACCTCAGACTGTGGAACACAATGTATTCGTAAATTGGGCCAATGACTGATATACGGCAGCAGAATCAAATAGTTCACTGCATTGCAATAAACGTGTGTTTCATTCGATTTCACACAAATCATCAAATCTTGTACATGTGCGATTAAGTGGTTACGGTTAACATTGATTATTTTATGCATACCTTCAAAAATTTCCATATCGAATTTTGCCTGTTGCATATCGTTCGCACGAGTTTCGAACACATCAAATAATAGATAGGATGCCGCCAACATCGAGCCACAATTAAACTTCGAATCAATGCCTGGTCAATTTGAAATCGGGAACACAATCGGAACAAACCCAAAATAATGAGAAACGAGTCACATTTGTTTCGCTGTGTTAGGTTCCGGATATTGTTGAGTCTGTGCAAACTTTGATGTGCAGTTTGTCAAAAATTTGTCCCCAACACGTACCTCAGAAACGAACTGAATTGTGTTTGCGGTATATCATGTCTCGTGGATTGCAGTTTGCGAAGCATTCCCACTGATTACAGAATTCGATGCACAGCGCTTGTTCTCACCTGTGAAAAACATCAGTAACCATAACATTGAACTGGATCAACAAGTTGCAAGATAGCACAAAAGTATCAGTTCGATACACGCAATTAATAACCTCGTGCTTTTAGCTAGCGGTTTTAGTGGCTGCTCATAATTACGGAATAAGTGAAAAGGCTTTCAAATCTCCTTTGAAAATGACTCACAAGGTGATCCACACAACAAACACCTGGGACTTATAGATAGCTGTGTATCCTGATAAAATGACTGGTAATACACATCCCAATGATAAAAACTTTCGTAAATTACCGGTATTTTATTTATATACTTATTTTTATTAAACTGAATTCCTCGATCCGTTTAATTTCCTGCTTGTAGCTCAGCTTTGGCTAGTAAGCAATCCGGATAATTATCCACGAGGTAAACGCTGTTTGATACTGAATTGGAAATCTGAAGTCTTTCACTTTCCTGCGAAATTTCCAAAGACAAACATTTTCAGAAATCCTTAGAAGGGTTAAGTGGAAAATAGAAAAATGTCTAGTTTATATGCCACTCCGAAAGTGGATAAGCATGCACTATGAAAGAAGATACTGCATTTATCTTCCACCTTTATCTCGGATCTTTACAGAGTGAAGTCAGAACTCTACCACCGTTACCCAAATTTGATTATCTTGTTTGGCTTTCTCTCGTGCTTCCTGTACAATCACATATCAGTCATTATAGACAGATTGTTTCTATCATGCATCCACGTCTCCAATAAGATACGGTACATCTATACAAGGAACGCTCCCTCTTCAATTGTTCCCAGCGATGGACTCAAATCGACCACATTATCATCAACCAACACTGACAGGTATCCATCCAGGACTGTCGCTCTCACTAGTTGATAAACGGGGATACGAGTAACCGTTTCTTCCTAGGCAAATTCCCCCTGAACCTCGTAAGCATTCACGACAAAGCAGCCGGAAACATATACCTGCGGTGCAACCCAAGCGACGGTTGCTAATCGGACGTTAAAGCAATGCACTTTCATCGCCTCTCAGTTCAACCACCAATCGAAGGACTCAGTGAACACTGGATTTTAATCAAGGAAGATATCCAAATTTCGATCAAAATAACAGCGGTATATGGCGCCAAACAAA